GGAGGGGGGATTTGCTGGAAAAGGGGGGTTCTCCAAAACCATAAAAAGTTCCCCTGGCTATAAGCTGGCTTTCGACAGGATGGGCAACGATGGTGGTCACCTCTCAGCCAAATTAAAATGCAACCATCATGATATGAATGGCCACATGGTAACCCACAAATAAGCTCCCCGTGGTAATAATCATATTGACATATGACGCACTCTGTTGATATAAATCTTTTAAACAATTCACGTTGCTCCTGGGACACATTAGGTTGGAATTCATTTATTGTTCCAAGAGTATCTGCATTCAGCTCAACATTCATTTGTTCACGTGGCCCACACAGCATACCAAGTGATTGGTGACAATCCCTCACGTTCATACTGCAGTATTTCCATCTTTTTAGTTCTGAAATATAATCTGTTTCAAGAACCATATTTACAATAAATTCATCAATCAGCTGATCCCTGCTTTCCCCCACTACTCTGTTTATTGCGAGATATACCTGGTGTAAGTTCATTAGATGGCGTAAATTTATTAGATGGTGTAAATTTACAGGTTGTGTAGCTGTACGTCTATCTCCCTCTATTTCCGGTACTGCTTCCTCCATACGGGCATTATTTCGATGAGTGGCTCCAGGGGGCCTTGCGGCTGCAATTGATTCTTGTGGGACCACTGTTGATCTCATAAGAAATTTTTCAATTAAACCGATAATAAAGCAATATGTTATAAACAAGAGAAATTTGATGTTGTTGGAGTAAACAAGAATATCATGCCGTATATAGCACATTATATTCGATATAACAAATTTGTGATGGATTTCCCTGAACATTTCAAGTAATGATAGTTGCAATGTTTCAAGGAGGTTGTTGGCAAAATACCAAAAGGCTTCAAGAATTGATAGAAACAAAACTTCAAGGAACAAGACTGATATCCAAAATACATAAAGAAAAAAATTTGATATTAAAATCAACTTGATTGTGCAAATGATTCGTTTAAAAATCCCACCTTGTGTTATACAGAATTCAAAAAAACAGATAACATTCACAACTATGAAACTCCAAATAGCTGCATCGCTATCAGTAAGGTCGAGTGATAGTGTACTTAAGTAAAGCCCAAGCCCTGCATATGATACAAATTCACCGGGGCATTTACCATAAAGTAAGGTACCTTCTGGAGTTATAACTAATATAGATGGGACTTTTAAAGTATCATTTTGAGACCTTTCCATCGTGGATAATTCCATTGGATTCGTTGACATAAATGCAAACTTGATTCTTCCAGCGAATTTTACACCGAGTGAGGAGTAAAATAGTGGTAGTTGATCAATTTTTGAATAATATGCAACATGAATGTATTTTGAAAATCTTTCTGCCGATTCCATCCATTTCCGGGCAGCACCATGATTGGATAGTATTGTAATTTTTAACTTCAGGTGGATGTTTATCCAGTCCAGTATGTATGCGGGCTGGCTTGGTTTATAATGATGAAACATTGTAACATAGTCTTTAGAGGTTTCCATTGCCAGGAGGATGCTTGGTTTAATCCACTTTTTCTCTAAACAGAATCTAAAATGAAATAGGTAAAATATGTAAATAAATAGATTAATTATACCTGGATTATTATTATTATTATAATATTAGCTATTATTACTGGGGCGGCAAAAATATTTAGGCATTGGTCAGGCAGGAAAGTTGACATCAGCCTCAGCCCCACCATGGTTTTGGCAGAGGTTGGGATTTTTTATAGGATTTAGCACTTCTAAACATAAAAAAAAAAAACATATAGAGAGATTGACTAAGTTTCAACTAGGGAAGTTTTCATGAACTTGAGTTTAATAAATGGCTTTCAAAGAAGTCATTATAATAAATTAAACACCGCTCTATCTTGGAGGCGAATTATTATTGGCTTTTCCCAGCAGTACTGAGAAAAGCCATTGTTTTTGTTCTGATTTTTTTTTTCTTTTTTCTTGCATATTTTTCCTATCGTTTTGCACTGTTTTTTTCTGGCCATCACTTTGGTCACTTCTCATGCTTAGAATTTTTCCGTGCTTTGCCGAAGCATAGGCCATATATCGAGGATGTGCCTCCTAATATTTAGTGTCAACCTGCATGTCAAGACCAACTAAAGTGATTTAAGGTCAAACAGTCTACACCGGATATTTCAAAAACCGCTAGTTGATTTTAATGAAAATTAAGGGAAAGTTTAATAAAGTTACAAGGAAGAAATATTAAGTGTTATTGACGATCCAGTGAAGGGTGTAAATTTGAGGGCCTTTTCAATTTTTGAGGACCGAGACCTAAATTTCTCTTTAAAAAAACCAATGGGTCTAAATGAAACATTCTATAGTACTTTGTAAAGGTCTTGTAAAAGAATGATTAAATTTTTGTGATGATCCGCAGTATGGTGTGGATCAGAGGACCAGTTAAAGGAAAACGTCCCAGACCACATATTTCGTAAATGGATCAACTGATCAGAATGAAACATTTGGAAAAGGTTTAACCAAGTTACAAGGAACAAATTATTATGTGCCAGCGACGAATCAGTCAAGGGTCTAAATGGGAGGTCATTTCAATTTTTGAAGGTCCAGACCTAAATATCAATCGGTATAATTTAAACCTTGTATAACAGTCTGTCAAGGTCGAGTAAAGAAATTAATAAATTTTTGTGATGATCCGGAGTAGGGTGTAGATCTGAGGACCATTGAAAGCAAAATGTCCCAGACCACATATTTCGAAAAACGGATCACCTGATCTGAATGTAACTTTCAGGAATATTCAACCAAGTTACAAGAAAGATAGTATTATGTGTTGGCGACAAATCAGTCAGGGGTGTACTTTATTAAATTTTTGAGATCCCAGACGTAAATATCTATAAAAATATCTATAAAAAGTTTTCAATGGGTGTAAATGTAACTTTTTATAATAGTTTGTAAAGGTCCAGTAAAGAAATGACTGAATTTTCGTGGTGATCCGGCGTTGGGTGTGAATATGAGGACAATTTAAAGGAAAACGTCCCAAACCAGATATTTCAAAAACGGTTCAATTGATCCGAATAAAACTTTCGGGAAAGTTTAACCCAAGTTACAAGGAAGATATTATGATGTGTAGGGGACGATCCAGGTTGGGGTGTAAATTAGAGGGTCATTTAAATTTCTTATGTCCCAAATATAGATGGAAAAAAATGACACTTTGCAGAAAAGTTTTTTAAGGTGAAATGAAGAAATGATCCAATCCGCAGTAGGGTGTGGATATGAGGACCATTTAAAGATTTTTTGATGACAGTTGATTAAATTATTTAAACGCAATTTGCATTTTCTAAAGCGCTTAAACCAGTTACAGTTAGGTTAAACTAAAAACTACCACGATATACATAAACAATTTTGCTTTCAGTCACTGAATCGCTATGAACTGAAAATGCACGTTCCTATGCAAGGTCAGCTCATATGGCGCGCAATGGTTAAGGGTCACGATGCACCTCGCTATTACCATTGCAGCCATAGTTCAAGTCTCACTAATAACGTCGCAAACTTGGTTTTTTTCCCACTTCATTTTTTTCCATTTCATTAAAATTATATTGCTTTTCTTAATGTTTTTTTTAATTTTTTTTATAGATTTTATACCTTTTAACGACTTTTCTTTTTGTTGCAATTTCAACTTCATTTCTCATTAAAGCAATAGGGAAAAGCCTTATGTTCTGTTGTTCAAACAGACATAGGAAGTATAGTTAATTATTATTATTATTATTAATATTATTCTAGACACTCGGGAATAGCAATCTAAAGATTCTAAAACGACTGTAATAATATTAATAATAATCAATAAATAATTAATTTTTGTGTAGTGCCAATAAGCAATAAATCAATCTCAGAATACTTTACAGAATGCTGGCATACAGCACCAGTATATAATTATTTATTAATGGTTTTAATTTTATTATACAGTATTTTAAAAATTGTTACAAAAATGTTTAATAGAACGCTTGTTTGAATATAAGTAAGTTTTTAGATGGGATTTAAGACTGTTCAATATTGCTAGAAAGCTTGTTCCACAGGAATGGCCTATGAACAGGAAAGGCCCATGAACAGAAAATGCCCTTCCACCATACGATTTGATTCAGTAGACTGCTTGGACTGCAAGAGTGATGTGATGTAATCTGGTGCCTGTCGGTTTTGAAGATGACAAGAAGGACCTTGTAGTCTATACTTGTCTGACAGGAAGCCAGTGTAACTGCTGTAATATTGGTGATATATGGTCATACAGACAAATAGTCTATTTGACAGTCATTAAAATTTCAGACCACATTTTAGCTGAAGTGCTATTTCTCTACCGTAACTACACTAGTACTTTATTAACATTGAAATACACCGTACAAATCTTGCTAAAGTTTGTGTCATCAACAGCCCAACTTTGTTGTTTGTTGCACTCAATAAACATATTAATAATTTAACAAAATGTGCCACTGATAAGTAAAAATTAGGAGAAATTTTTATTTTTTCATTACTAGAGTAAATGGTAGGTCAGCTATCTGACCAGCTACCAGACCGCTTCTGCAGCCCATGTATTGTAGTTGTTATTTTCATTGGGTTGGGGGGGGGGGGGGGGGGGGGGGGGTTTTATGGTTCGGGCAAAGCCCCTTTTCAAGCAAACCCACCTTTTTACTGGCAAACCCCTCCCCACTTTGAATTTCCCAAACAAGTTCGCAAACCCAACTAATGCACTGCAGATCCACTCAGATGGATTGGTTTGCCTATTAAAAGAGGGAGCAATCATGACACATAGGCCTACTGTACAGCATATGAAAAAACATTGCTCTCACCTTAAATCTAAAGTACATTTAAAGATTCCAGTACGTATTCCAAAATATGACACCTTTCTTTTTACGGTTTTCCATGAATTTGGAGGCAATAATCCTCGACGACCTGGAGGTATAACCTTCAAAAATACAAACGAGCGTTATGTTTTAATTACTTTCAATTGAATTGATTTGTACTCATTTTAGGAAGTTGTTTCTTCTGTCTTCAGTGACTCTGTCATGTGATTCTGTCATGTGATATGTTGTCTTATAATAATAATAATAATTTATTGAACTTACATTTTTGTTACAGTGGCACTCGTCAATTGACGGTGCGTTCAAGACCAACAAAATTACAAAAAAGAAGTTACATTTAAAAAAATAAGAAAAAAAATACAAAAAGCACAAGCACAAAATTTGAAAGCCCCTTCTTATCATAACTTAACAATTAAACTTAAATTAAACTACTTAAAGTATATAAATACAAAGCAGATACAGCAATACAGACCTACTTTTCTGTACAGTACTATAGGCCTAAACTTACACACACACACCTAGGTAAACACAATCCAATAAGAAAAATATTGAGAGAAAAAAAAAGTTTAATTTAACGTCACAACATAGCAAATCATTAAAAGAATACACATTTATAAAAATGCCTACCGGTATCCGTACATGGGTACTGTATACATACACATGCACACACACACACACACATAAATATATATATATATATATTTGGCCTTCCTGTTTACTTGTTTAGGCTGTTTATTCTAATCCCACCTAGCCTATTGTTTCTAATCATGCTTGCATGAAATTCTCACTTTATACTTTCTGGCTTTTTCAACCCTCTCACTCACTCGCCACTGAGGAAGGACTAGTGTTGTCCGAAAGCTCTGGTTCTTATATATACAGTATATATATATATATATATATACATACAGACATATATATATACACATACCTATATATATATATATATATACATATACATATATACACATACACACATATATACATACATATTATATATACACATACTTATACATAACCATATACATACATACAACGGTATAATCAAGAAAAGCTTAAAAGTAGAATGTGATAACATGTCAGTTAACTAATGGAGATGGCCGAAAAATCTTAAAAGTGAGTAAATCAATTTGGATAAACTAAAAATAAAATACAATTAAAAACACCGATAATAGCAACCAGATGAATTTCATCCAAGAAAACGAATAATAATTACAATATTAATAGAATAAAGATTAAATACTAAAAGAAAAACAAGAAACTAAAAGAATATATAAACACAATATTGAAATAAAAATATTGAAAAAAAAAAAACCAAACACATTACAAAATAATAATATAATGCTAATAGAAATATTTTTTTCTCTCTATTTATACTGTATAATGTGTTTAATTTGACTTGTAAAATGTTATAATCCTACTTGTAAAATTTTATAATCTGATTAATAATTTCATTAGTCATTTCTATTCTAATTAACCATTTTATTTGTATATATATATATATAGGTTTATTTTTATGTAAAACTGGGTTGATGAGGGACACAGATATTTTGTTATAGTGTCCACATTTGTGTTCCTGCCAATCAGCTCAGTTAGTCTTGTTTTTCATTTTCTGTATAATTGTTTGTTTGGCAATAAAAGAATAAGAATAATAACAATTTTTACCTTAATGAGCCACACACTGTCTGTCTTACTTTCCACTTCTTCACGGAAGTGTTCTCCAGATCTAAACAAAATATCATCACTTTCAGATTCTTCTGCCATTATCAGTTCTCCGCCATAAACATTACCTGAAACCATATTTGGAAATATTACATTAATATTAATGTAAATACACCATTATCAGAATCATAATTCATAATCAATTCATAAAATCTATAGTAATTTATCATTATTGTTGTGGTGTGAGTAATCTGGTATTGATAGGTTAGCTTCAACCCTCATATGTGAGCGTGTTACTTTATTTATCTCGCACTGTTCTAATTTAACTGTTAATATGCCTACACATTAAAGCCCCATTCCCGGCAAAATTTCACTAAAAACTGACTTTTTTTAGAAAATATGCATTTGCATCACTCCAATTTTTATAAATCATGGAAAAATATTGGCATGAATTTTAGTTTTACGCAAAAGAATAAAAAAAAATGAGAAATACAGACTATTTCTCATAAAATATTACCATTTTCTCGACGAATTCATCGTTACTAGGCAAATTCAGAGGTTGTAGATCGCATCCACTGGAATACTCTCGCTTTTATTTATACTTTATACAGTCAATAAAGTGCGCCCTCTCTAATGAGATTAGTTTTTGTACTTCGCAGCTCGCACAATGCGGTTGTTCGGTTAGGCTGAGATATGTTTGTTTAAGTGTCTAAATCTCAGTCAGAATCAGTTTTTTAACAAATTTGAAATAATTCCTGTGAAATATTATATTCACAAGTGTCAATACTAGCAACGGAAAATATCATGTCGGCTGTTTTTATGTGTGATAACAGAACCTAAATCGAGGTAAGGCTAGGCCTAGCCTAGCAGCATTGGATAGGCTAATGTTTTCGGCGCCTACGATATTTCTTCTCACGACCTATCACAAAATCAACATGAAAAATTCATCCGCATTAATTTTTTTGTGTGGAACACAAAAAATCAAATTTCAGTCTTATTTTACATTTTTTTTATTCTTAGGAATGTCTAAATTCATTTAAACTAGCAATTCCGTATTATATTTATAAATCTTTATAACATTATAAAAAAATTAGATTTTTCTTAAAAACTGAAATTTTGCCGGGAATGGGGCTTTAAAGCCCCATTCACGGCAGCGATTTTTTTCCCCGTACGAAACATTTACATGAAAATCCACTCGGGCCGTCTCGGCTGAATCGACCCGAAAATCTCATTGCAGAATTCAGGAGGTCAAAAGGTCAACAGATAAACGTCTACAGAACAACTTCTGAGAGAACGTCGCTGTCTAATTTTTAAAAATACATTGATGTTACCATGTTAATACCAATGGGTCATTTAAAATTACATATAATATTTGATTAAGCTCCACGAGTAATGAAAAGTGTTATTTTAACTTGAGTTACATACTATGGCAATTTTAATTTTTTAATTAGGCCTGGGTTTTGCATAATTACCTAGGCCTACTAAAAACGCTTCTGGGAAAAGCACAGAGAGTAAGGAAGAGCGCGTTTTTCTTCATCACTGATCAAATGAAACAGAGTGACAGTTATTTTCAAATTAAGAGAAGAGCTGAGAATAGGCAGCTCTAAAATACTGGATGCCATAAGACCTGCAAAATGGCAGAGCACCAAATGAATGTAAAAATGAGCTAGTTATTAATATTAGGCATAGTAATCG